TTCTCCTAGAAGAGAACATAGGCAAAATATTCTCTGACATAAATTGTAGCATTATTTTCTTAGGTCAGTCTCCCAAAGCAATAGAAATAAAAGTAAAAATAAACAAATGGGACCTAATCAAACGTATAAGCTTTTGCACAGCAAAGGAAACTATAAACAAAAGGAAAAGACAACCTATGGACGGGGAGAAAATATTTGCAAATGATGTGACTGACAAGAGTTTAATTTCCAAAATATGCAAATAGTTCATACATCTCAATAACAAAAAAACAAATAACCCAATCAAAAAATGGGTGGAAGATCTAAATAGACAGTTCTCCAAAGAAGACATACAGGTGGCCACTAGGCACATGAAAAGATGTTCAGCATGGCTAATTGTTAGAGAAATGCAAATCAAAACTGCAATGAGGTATCACCTCACACCAGTCAGAATGGCCATCATTAAAAACGTCTACAGATAACAAATGCTAAAGAGGGTGTGGGGAAAAGAGAAGCCTCCTACACTGTTGGTGGGAATGTAAATTGGTACAGCCAATATGGAGAAAAGTATGGAGGTTCCTTAAAAAACTGAAAATAGAGTTGCCATATGATCCAGCAGTCCCAGTTCTGGGCATACATCTGGAGAAAACTATAATTCAAAACGATACATGCACCCCAATGTTCACTGCAGCACTACTTACAGTAGCCAAGACATGGGAGCCACCTAAATGTACATGGACAGATGAATGGATAAAGAAGATGTGGTCCAAGTATACCATGGAATATTACTCAGCCATAAAAAAGAATGAAATAATGACATTTGCAGCTGCATGGATGGACCTAGAGATTATCATACTAAGGGAAATAAGTCAGAGAGAAAGACAGATACCATACATATCACATCACTTACATATGGAATCTAAAATATGACACAAATGAACTTATTTATAAAACAGAAACAGACTCACAGACATAGAAAACAAATTTATGGTTACCAAAGGCAAAAGGGGGTGAGGAAGGAATAAATTAGGAGTTTGGGATTAGCAGATACAAACTACTATATATGAAATAGATAACCAGCAAGGTCCTACTGTATAGCACAGGGAACTATATTCAATATCCTATAATAAACCATAATGGAAAAGAATATGAAAAAGAATATGTATATATACGTATAACTGAGTCACTTTGCTGTACACCAGACACTAACGAAACATTGTAAATCAACTATATTTTAATTTAAAAAAGTGTTATGTTGTACTGTAAGCGAATTCAACTGAAGAGTATAGTCCTTAATATTATAAAACCCCTTCTAATTCAACTAAAAACCAAAGGCCAAGAAAGGAGAGTCAAAGTAGAAAGTAGATGTGGGTAGGACAGAAGGTATAAGAAAATGAAAAGCTGGTCCTCATTGATGCCTGCCTGAAGAGGTCGGTAGGGCCGTGTTGACATCATCTCATGGAGTGAATTGTGTTTAATAAGAACGTGTGGCTCTTCCTTTCCTTTGACATGGGGCTCTAGAGCTGGCTTCCAGGGTGGGGAAAAAGATTGAGGAGGAAACAATAATTAAAATACAAAAAGCTGTAGACTCTTTAGCTCCTCTGTATTACTAAAGGCCCTATACCTATTCACCTAACTTTGACCATGTAATTATTCTAAAGAGATGTAAAATCATCAGTCCAGTGGCAGAATTCTGACTGTCCCAGACTCCTGAATTATATTATTAATAATTGCAGCTAACAATTATTATGCTTTATGTCAGGCACACTGCTAAATGTTTTATATGGAATATCTCATTTACTCCCAAAGCTCTTGGAGATAGATATTACTGTTATTTTCCTTTTATAGGTGTGGACATTGAGGCATATGGAAGTTAGTAACTTGCTAAAATATTTCATAAATGTGTGTGCTTCAGCTATAATATATTAAAAATTTCATAAGATACCTGGGGGAAGGGAATTGTTATTGCTTTATAATGCACATGAATATTTTTTAACAGTTCAAGACAGCAAATGAAGAAAGATGTGAAATATAATAATGAATTAATTTGACATTACTTGCGCTTTTTGCATTGATTATAATAATTATTGCTTGAATTGAATTTTCTTGGCACATGAGTTTTGGAATCAGAGAGCTAAATTTGAATATCATCTTTGCCACTTGTTAATTGGATAATTTTCTAATAGGGTTATTTAAATGTACTGTGCGTCAATTTCTGCTTCTGGCGAATGGGCATAGTATCTTCCTCCTTCACAGATCTATTAAAACACATCAATCCTGATTATTCATGGATTCCATATTTGCAAATTTACCTACCTTAAAAAATTTATTTGTAACTCTCAAATCAGTCCATGTAATACTTTCACTGCCATCTGCAGACATGTACAGAGCAGTAAAAATGAGTCGCCCGACCATGTGGTCCCAGCTGAGGTTGAAGACGGTGACAGGCTGCCTCCTTATTTCATTTCGCATACTGCCAACAGTGTCGTTTGCACAGTCTATTTAATGCCATGTTTTTTGCATTCTTATGCTTTTTATTGGTGATCTTACTGTTTAAAATAGTGCTGAAGTGCTGGCTAGTGATCCTAAGTGTAAGAAGGCTGTCCCTTGCCTTTTGGAGAAAACTCACGTGTTAAATAAGCTTAGTTCAAGTATAAGTATTAGTGCTGTTGGCCATAAGTTTAATGTTGATGAATCAACAATATATTTTAAATAAGATGTTTTCCGGCTGAAAAACCCGTAAAACAAGATATTGATGAAGATGATACTGTGACTTGTTGATGAAGATATTGTGACTAGAGAATCACAGGAGCCTGAGCCTGTATTTTCCCCAGGAGCAATGGTTCATTATTTGCCAGTTTAGTTTTCACGATAACTTTGTATAACTACTGTGAGTAAAAAGAATTGGCTGTGTTATACTCAATACATTTACTGTTAACATTATCTCTCAGTTTTCCTTCTGACCTTAGAGAAATACCTCCGAAAGAGTTGGTGATATTCTTAATGACTTTAAAGGGCAATGGGCACTCTCTGAAATAGCACAAACACAATCATCTCCTTTTTAGAGTCTAGGGTCCCTTTTAACAACTTATCATAAAAAGTTACTTCTAAAGTTCAGTTTTGGACACTAGACTAAACTGTCTTCAAAGATAACTTTGTTTTATCAGAAAGTAAATATTTTCGGTTTGGCAGGCAGTGCAGTCTCTCTCACAGCTATTCACCTCTGCCACTGTGGCGTGAAAGTAGCTCTAGACAATATGTATATGAACGGTTATGATGTTTCAATAAAACTTTATTTACAAAAACAGATAGCAGGCTGGATTTGGCCTGTGAGCTCTAGTTTGCTGACCCTTGATTTAGTGTAATGTGGGCTCTTGTTTTATGGCATTGTTTATCAGTTTTCTAGAAGACCTATAAACCATAAAAAGTAAAATAAATTTTTTTCTATAACTGTTTCTTTATGTTGTAGTGATCATAATCACGTGTTTCTTATGTTATAGTGATCATAATCACGTGTTGTGAGCATTTATTAAAGGCAGGGCACTGTGCTAACCACTTTATACTGTTTTTTAGTTTCTCGTTGTAGCTCTATCATAGGCAGCACTATGATTATTATCTTATTTTTTCAGAGATAGAAACTGAGGCCCGGAGAGGTGACGTATCTCACTCAAGGTCACAGATTTAGGGAGTGGTACAACTTGACTCCAAGATAGTTTTGACCTTATAGCCAGCATGCAATACTTTTTGCCTAAACTTTCCTTATTTTCTCATGTTCTGCTAATTTAGGGATGTTGATTTGAGGGTTAGAAATGCATTGTACAGCATCTTAAGCTTTTCTGAAGAAAAACATTTATTCAGTGGATAAGTAAGTAGATGAGTGTGGGTTTTAACTCTATTTCTTTAATTCGCTTTTTAACAATTAGCCTGTTTTATTTCTTGTTACATTTCCAAATGTATTCTAAAAGGGAGTTTACCTAAATGTGAAGTTTTGCTGCTTTGCTCTCTGCTGGGAGATTTGTTTTTCTTCATTGGATAATTTAGAGGTCTTATTTTGCTCTTGTTCCTTTAATATCCTGATTAAAGGATTAGAAAGCTCTTTGCTACATTTGAGTGACTAATACTGCTCTGAGCACAGAGCCACACTCTTGGGGGACATAGATTTGCATTTGCCGAATGAATAAAAACTTAGCGGCAGAATAACCATCTTTTCTATAACTGCGTCAGCTGTCCTGCGCATTGCCTGTGGCTGCTGTTTTCTGGCTCTAGTTCTGAGCATTAGCACAGAGCTTGACATCATCAGTAAAAAGAAGGAGGTTGTGGAAATGGCTCAGTGGGAGTCGTGAATAGTGAGAACATGGATTCATGGTGGAGATACTTGTTTAGCTATTGCATGTGAAGCACTACCCTCTCATTATCCCCGTTAAGTTTATATCACTCACTGGTTCAGCCTTTTATTTGCACTCAGTATTTGCCCAGTACAATTAGGAGTTCAAAAATAACAATGATCCCTGCTTTCTGGAAGCTTGAAGTCTCACATCAATTGATAAGTGGTATCTATCCATCCATCCATCCGTCTGTCTATCCTTAAGGGCGGTATTATGAGAAGAGTATTGTAGGAGCACAGAGAGAGGCACAGTTGACTGCCTGGTGGGGTAAGGCCCCACCTTCTGTTCTGAAGAGGGTCGTTTTTTGACTTAGGAACGGGAGTTTTCCAGGTGAGCAGGTGCATTGGTCAGCATCTCCGAAGAAAGACCACAGCGGCGAGAAAGAGGATGAAATATTCTGGGCGTGATAAGAATTTTGTTATGGTTGGAGGAGAATGGGTCAAGGGATGAGCCTGGTAAAATAGGTCGGGGTCAGACTGTGAAGTGCATGTAGTGATAAGGGAGACTTTGGAAAGCTTTAATTAGGGTGTGACCTGATCAGAGCTTTATAAAAATAATGCTGGTGACAGTGTGAAGGGGAGGAAATTGATGGGGGTGTGTGATGACTAATGGATTATACATTCTTCTGCCTTCCAGCTTTCTCCTGTGCTTCTGGGGAGTATCTAGAAATGAAGAATCAGGTATGCAGTAAGTGTGGCGAAGGCACCTACTCCTTGGGCAGTGGCATCAAATTTGATGAATGGGATGAATTGCCGGCAGGATTTTCCAACGTTGCAACGTTCATGGACACTGTGGTCGGCCCTTCTGACAGCAGGCCAGATGGCTGTAACAAGTAAGAATCCAAAGGAGCCTTGAGAAGAGTGTGGTTGCTCTTTTCCAGAAAGATGTTGAGGATAATCTTGGTAGCGATTGGGATTATAGATAAACTAATTGCAAATAGTCACAGTTTTTTTTTTAACAGTCCTTATGAATAATGTAGCTGAGCTTTCATGAGGTTAAAATAGTCGCTCTTAGGACATAATAGATACTGTACGCAAAAAATTCAATAAAGCTATTAAGAAAACAAGTTAATTTTCTAATAATACATTTATAAGTATGTTAAAGTCAGTGGTGTTTCTACAAACCCTTCTGTAATTTTAATGAATAACTTCAATGTTTTGTTCTTTTCCCCTGAGAGGAAAAATGTATAACCTTCATTTTGACACTTGAGTGTCTCCGGTTACAGAGTGGGTTAAACACCTAAAGTGGAAAGCACCTTTACTTAATTTCCACCTTTTTAATAGGAGATTATTAGGTTTGCCTGTGACAACATTGGAGGAATGATAAACTGTTTTGAAAAAACACAAAATGTTTATCTTTGGGCTGTTACCCTTCCTGTTTTCTTGTGTTGACTATGTAACATTCCCCTTTCACGTGGCCATGTTTAGGAGAATTTAACTTTAGGCCTCGGGCTACCTTCTGACAAGGATGGTTTCTCACGACTCAGTATTTTTACTCTGAGCTAAAGATGCTGGGGAATTATTTAGCTGTGATAACAGATGTGTTTTCTCCTCCCTCGTTCCTACCTTCCCTCCATTCCCCCTTGCTTTATATAGCTGTCTGTCTGTCTGCCAGGTGATATTTTTACTCTTCTGATAACAGTCATTTCATCACGTAGGGTTGTGACGTTAGATAGCATTAACAGAATTGTTATATCTAATAATTCTAACTAGGTATAAAATGTATATGTGCGTATATATACACGTACGTATGTGTATATGTACACACGTGCATACACTGTTGACCCATGAACGATGTGGGAGTTATGGGTGCCGATCCTCCTTTGAGTTGAAAATCCACTTATAACTTAACAGTTGGCTTATTGTATCCACACTTCGGCATCTGGCGGATTCAACCAACCATGGATCAAGTAGTACTGTAATGTGTCTTTAGTGAAAATAATCTGCGTATAATTGGACCCATGCAGTTCAAGATGTATATTTATGTATGTACACACACACACACACACACACACACACACACACACACACACACACACACACACACACAC